TATATATATATATAATGTTTATGAGACATCAAGGCAGATTTAGCTCTTATTTTTGCAAATAATGCAAACCCAGGCTAGTCTGGAGGTCTCAGGTGGGATGATCAGGAGGGGAACTGGGCCCTAGGTGGGGATGTAGACAGCATGGGGAGGGTATAACTAGCTAAGTGAAGTAGATGTGAGCATGTGAGACCTGGATCAGGGAGAATGAAGTTGACCCTAGAATAGGGGGAATCTAGGGATGAAGTTGGCCCCAGAGTAGGAGGAATCTAGGGATTTTTTTTTCTATTTTAATTCTGAGTCTGTAGAAACTGACACTGAAATTTAATGTACTGTTGAAAAGATGCATTTTAAGCTATACTTAAAAATGAAAATAGCAAATAAGCATCTTTATATTTCTAACATTAGGCTAAAGTACAATCAATTTATGATAATGAATGTTATTGCCAAATTCACTGTAATCTCTGTTTGCAAGCAAGTTGGAAAAATGTCTACTCTGCCTTTTGATCAAAGGGTAGACAAATGCAGGACTTCATAAATCAGCAAGGATTTGTAAGAACTTGACTGATGTTAAATTCTGCTTCCAGAGCAACAGGAAGCTTGCTTTTCTAAACAGGTTTTCCTGTACTATAAACTGAAGTTCAAGAATAATTCTCAAGAAATAGCAGTTACTGTTATTTACAGACTCAGTTATCAAAATTGGTCAATGATATCCTCCAAAGATAGAGTCAAAATGACCAATCATCTCCTATCAATGCTGATTTTTCTGTAGTTTCCTGACTTGTTTCAATTCATTGCTGATGAGAATAAAGGGGGGAAGAGAGAGAGAGAGAGAGAGAGAGAGAGAGAGAGAGAGCTGCAGCAGGGAAATAGTATCATCTGGGAATGTGAGGAAACTGAGGCCAAGAATTTAAACAAAAATTCAAGAAGATGGCTTACCTTCTACTGTGTAAAGCAGGACTGACCCTACCCTTGCTAGAAGCCACCATAACAGTGGTTCCTTTGAGCTTTGTCCTTTGCAAAATTGCTTCTCCTCCCTTTGCCTGGCATTCTAAATTCTAAAGAGATAGTTACATTTAAATGACTGAATGGGAAGACATTTATTGGATGAGAAGAACTGTGAAGATTTCACCTAAATGTTTAAGGTGTTCACTGCTAAATATTCTTTTTATGGGTTTAGAGAATCTATAAGGTCTGGTGACTTTCAGATTACACCATACTATGAAATGGTCCTCCTCATCCTTTAGTTCTGTGAATCAAGTAATACAAAGCATGTAATTCGCTGTGAGGTGTGAGACTTAATTTGCAGAAAAGTAATGTCTGTATAAAGAGCAACCGGAAGTAGTCCCAGAAGGCCAAAGTCCAGTGATCTTCCAGCCAGAGAAGAAAAGGAGACACATGCCCTGGACTACAAAAGGCCACTCAGCATCAGCAGGTAGTCTTTGTAGAAGTCAGCTGTCCCCCGCTCCTCTTTCTAAGACTCTAAGATGGTGCTTTGAGGCTAGTAGCATAAATTGGCCAGTGAATAAACCTGATTTCCTTCCCACCAGCTCTCCTTTCTGGAGTATTGGCTTTCAAACAACAAGCACCTGGGCCATAATACAATGAAGAAATGAGATAATGGAAGCTTAGTTTGAATGGCTGCCCTAAGGTGCAATCCTCTGAGCCAAGCTGTCTCCAACTTCATATTGGTTGTGCATAGTTCTAAGAGTCCACCATGATGGCGTCTGTGAACTGTTGACATTCCCTCCTAGAAGGAGGTAGTGGGAATGTCATTGTACCCTCACTTAAGCATCCAGCCACTCCTCTAGGCCATCTGTGTTCAATTCTGCACTAACTGCACATGACCTTGGTGTCTCAAGGAGGGACTAGAGTATATAGGGTAAGGGAGGCTCCATACACGCTTAGGTTGCTATGAGGAAGCCACCATCCATCCAGGGTGAACACTGTCTAACGTGGCAGCTTCCGGGTTGCTGTTAAGGTTGGCTCCTTTCTCAGCAGGGATGTCTGCCAATCCTCAAGGGTGGGATGGCTTAAGGCAAAGCTGCCATTACCCTCTTGGGGAGAGGGGATAGGAAAAAGAGAGACTGCCAATCCTCAAGGGTGGGATGGCTTAAGGCAAAGCTGCTGCTACCCTCTTGGGGAGAGGGGATACTCACAAACTCTGCACATTCCAGG